TGGCGGGGGCGAGGCGCGCTACCCGGGGGTGCGCGGGTGCGCTACGCGGGGTGGCGCGGGCTGCTCCAGGCCTCGGTGCGCGCCTGGCCCTCGCCCCTCGCGCAGTTTTGCTCCGCGCCTGTTCCCAGGACTGGTGCTTGCCCCCGAACGGGAGACAGCTAATAGAGATGTCACGCGTATGCTCACAGACAGTAGAAGCTGTTCCAGACCAAGCTTTTGTGCGCGTGAGGTACTGCCAGCGTCTTCCCCAATAGTCACTAACCTGCTCTGTTGCCTCCCGTGCTGCTCTAGCCCCCTGCCCTTGTCCCTGTACTCACGGGATCAGCATCCGCACTGAGAAGTGTGGAGATGGGTCTGGCCAAACTGTGCTGGAGTGGAGGGGAATTCACCCAGCACAGGCCTGGACTGAGTCTCAGCTGGAACTGCTATTAGGGCAGAGTCCCAGAACAGTAGGATTTCCTTGTGAGTTACAACCCAAATGTCCAGTTAAAGTCACATCAACAGCAAAGTGACCAGGGTTAAACGTAGTAAGGTTTCACACCAGTTAAGTTGCTAGCCTGCAGCGTGCCGGCGTGGCTCTTCTGCTGCTCCATTTGTGGCAGCTGAGACAACTTGAACCTGCAGCATTGAGCTGCTCTCTAGGAAGCAGTAAACAAGGCCTGGCCCTTTGCCCAGCACAGTGCAACTCTCTTTTGTTCACAGTTGTGGCTTTTTCCCTCTTGACCTGCTTCCAAGAAATGTGGCTGTGCTTGCCCAAGGTATCTAGCCAGTGTTTGTTTGCATGATGGCTGCTACCCAGGTCTAAGAATGCATCCTGGAGAGTACCTGGAAGCTACTCTCTGGCAGCAGAAAATCTGTGCCAAGAAGAGATAATAAGGCAGCCAAGGCAAAACAGCTTGAGATGGCCCATGGCAGAGTTAGGAGAGGGATTGGCCAAACTGTAGGAGGCCATACAGAGAACAGCTCCAGAAAAACACTAACTTGAAATCAACAGTATATGGTCAGGTGTTTTCCTTACTAAGGCCTCTTCTGCAAAAGCATCCACAGCTCCAAGGAAAGGAGGCTCTCAAATGAATGTGAAAAAAAGCCACTCTTAGAATTAATGGCACCAGCAACTAGTAATATTGCTAGTTATAGTTCAAAGCAGGACTGAACCCAGGACTTTAATCTGGAAAACCCCATATGGAAGGAGTAATGGAAAGAAAGTGCCAGGGACATATTTGAAGTACCTTGAATGAGAGAAATTATGAAAGGGATTTTTGTCAGTCTGATGCGGCTGAGTGAACTAAGCAAACCAGTGCAGGAAAATTGACTGCTACCGTATCTTTTATGTGAACTTGACCAAAACTGCAGTTATAAACTTGAGTTAGACTCAGTGCCGTAAAAATGGAAAATGGCAAATGTTGTTACCAAAAGAGTTCTGGGGAATTCAGTAAATCTGACTTTTATGCTAAGCCAACTGCTAGAACATTATAAAGCAGATACATTAAGAAACAAGCTATTTTGTCACAATTTGCAAATTTATTCAAGTTCTCTGAGGGAGTCACAACAAACATGTAGATGGGTTGATCTGGTAATGCACTATACTTCAGTTTCTAAAAAGCTTTTTGACCTAGTTTAGCTGCCTGCATATTCTTTCTACAGAAGACTGTAAACTGAGTACTCAAAGAAGGACGAGTGCAGAAGAGTAAAGTGCTTAATGTTTGACATGGATGCTAAGGGAGCAGGAAGGCTGAAGCAGTGAACTGTATCAAGGGAAATGCTATGAATCAACTGGTGAAGCAAAACAAGAAATATTGGCTAAACTGAAACAGCACAAATGGTGTGGTAAGGCAAGGCTGAAAGCAAGTACATAGGAGGCAGCGAGTGAGAAAAAGTGTAAGAAAAGAAGGGAAAGTTTGCAGACAACACAAAATGATTTAGACCAAGAAGGACACCAGGCAACACAGTTCAGCATGGTAACTCCACACAAATCAAACATATATTTTATTAGGTTTATTTAAATAGTTGCAGTGCAGAAGAATCTACCAGTTAATGCACAGAAATAAAACAGAGAACTCAGGTCATTTAACACCTGAGAGAAAAAACAGTTGGCAGACAAGGAAACACAACTCAGTGGGAATCTAGCCCCATCAGCTATTCAACTATTGCTGTTTTGGCAGGCAGCAGGGTAGCAAAGAGTTTTAAGGGAGGATCTGGAAGAGGGCGCTGTGCTGCATTTGCAGACCCGTATGGAAGAGTCTCCCAGGGACATGAGGTGGGGCAAGAAAAAGTGCAGGGATATTTACTGAAAAGCTGGACAATCAGGGTGGGGAAATCAGCTGTCAAATGAAGTAGGAGTCAGTGATTTGAAAGATGGCCAGGGATGATGAAGTGGGTGAGGCACAGGCTGTATAAGGCACAGAGAGGGGCCAGTAAAAGGACACATAGAAATGGATGAAGTAATTGTAAAAAGCTTCAGAAAAGTTCTTTGTGAATACTTTCTTTGGGAGGGAAGGCAGGAGCTGCAAGAAAATATTAATAAGATGTAGACATGACTAGATGTTCAGGTCTAGAGAGAGGACTGACTTGGAGACTGGCCCAAGTTTCAGGCTTGAGTGGCAGGAAAATTTGCAGGGTATAGTGACTGAAGTGGAAGGGGACTGGTTTCACACAAGCCTGTTATATACATACTGCATGGTGCCACGGGACTATTCCCCAGTTCAAAATATTGAGGCCACGTAGTCTCAGTATTTCTTCTCTCTCTCTTCTCTCTTCTCTCCCTGTCTTCTCTAGCTTTCTAGAGAATATTTATTCTCTGTACAGAGATCATGTGGATAAATGCTAGCTCTGTATCACAGGAAATGGTATTGAACATTTGGGAGTTTAGTATATGATCAGTATCTAAACTAAATTCCAAAAAGAATTTAAATGTCATCTTTGCAGTGATGTCCTAGCTCAACACGGGGTAATTGAATGACTTCTTCTTTTGTGCTTCACAAAGCAGTTGTGAAGTCTTTTCCCCTTGGTCTGAGATTCCAGTCTTAGAATTTTGTACTGGTTTACCATTTGGACACAAAGACTAACTTTTCTAGATGCAATGAATCTGACAGATCTGACAGTTTATAAAACAAAATGCATCTGGATCTCCTGCTCTGGGAAGACTCCTAAACTATTTAAAAAGAAACATTCCTAAACTATTTAAAAAGACACATATCTAAACTATTTAAAAAGACACATGTTTCTTCTTGTATACTACTGTTTGGATTGTTCCCCAGAACTTACCTGTGGGTCCCCACTGACTTTTCGGAGGCTCATATGACTGGAGTCCAGCTGATGTACTGGGGTCCCAGAGACGTGGTAGCCATTCACTGTAAGAACACAGGGAGAGTTAGCAGGCTTACTGTAGGTAGCAAATAACTAAATACACATTTTAAAAACTGATCACATCATTGAGTATAAAGGTATAAATCAGGGTACCTTTCTTGAGTTCCCACTGTTCCTTGCCTCCAGCTTAAGAAATGTATGAATGCTTCTCCCCATCCCAACAGATTTTTAGTTGAATCTCCATTTTGATGTGTTAGTGCCAACCGAGAAAGAACCCAGAAATGTACATTGCTGAAACTCAGCCCACAGGTCCATTCTCCCCTCCACATCCTTAAGTAGACTGCCATCAGGAGTTATGATGGGAATTATTCAGCTAAAAGTGACAAGAAAAAGATGCCCCAAAACTCAGAAGAGTTCCCATAGCCCTGTTTGGTAAAATTAAGTGTTTGAAGAAATAGGATATCTCTCCATATATAAAAAGCACTAGTTTAATGGAAATGGGCTCTTTATCTCAAGCAAACAGGCCTTGTAAGAAATTTATGGTTCAGAAAGAGAACCAATCATGTACACAGCTATGAGGTACTTTTTGGAATATACTGAGTAAAGAATAATGTTCAAAGTTGGGTTAGAAGAAGATACTGTATTATGTTACACATGCTGTGGTCACATCAAAATGCACAAACCTCCAAGCACACTTCCCACTCAGCTCTGCTAGTAAAGACAGGCATCAGTTCTAAAAATTTCTGCAAAAAACTTCATCTAGACTTTATTATTAGCAGCAATGGCCTTAAAGTTTAGCACCTATTAAGGCACAGTAATTTCTACTTTGCTTTGTCTTACTGCAATACCTGAAAATTTTTAATATGGCTCTGCTGCTAATTTTCTGTTACTTGATTCCCGGCAACTTCAGGTCAGGGCAGAAGTGAAGTGGCCTGTAACTGGTAGCCTGTAACTACTGCATGCTAAAACACTTTCTTTTGCATATGTGAGCTATATAGAAGAGATGCAGCAAGCCCACATTCCTTTGCCCTTGCTGTCTACCCTGTCCCAGCAGAAAGCCAGACAGGGAAAGACAACCTCACCTTTTCCTCCCTTAGCTGGTTGACCAGCTGACTCACTGGGCTACAGTCTGCCTACACACTCCAAAGATGTGCTACATCAGCTCTAAGCAGACCAGACAACAGACCAGAAGATGCATCAGTAGGGAAACAATAGGCAAGATGTATCAGGAGGGAAAGTCTTACCACATCTGTACTGCTGCACTCCCAGGACCGTGTACATTAACTATAAATCCCACAAAACCAAGAGCATTTTCCTTTGCTCTACTGACTGGCAGAAAAGTACATTTACCTAACGCAGTGATAAGACACAGCAAGCAGACAATACCTGCAGGGCTCCTCTGAGTCCCAGGGCTCTTTGGAGTCCCAGGCACGCTGCTTGGCCGCTCCCAGGTTGTCTCTGTTCAAAGAAAACAGCATTTAAGCGTAATCAAGGCCTTGTGCACACATCAGTTCATGCCTGTGACACTTGTACAAATGGGTTATGATCCTGAATGTTCTCTGACTCCAGGTTCTCAACCAATGAGGCAGACGCCTGCACCTCCCTGTGTTCCCCATATCCTCCTACATCTTCCTTTTCAGCCATCAGGAGCTCATCCTCTACCGCCCCCGACTCCCTTCCCAGCCAGCATGGGATCAGTCATCTGTCTCTGCTCTGCATGAGAATACAATAGGTTCAGAGTTGCATCACAGGTTCTTCCAGTTTAGGTCTGCCTCAAGGCCATGCTTGGCAAAAAAACAAGTGATACAGCTGTATGCAGAAATGAATCCCTGTAAGCTACTGCCATGATCTGTGCAGGCAGCATTTCCAGGTGTAGTTAAATTAGCCTCAGCCTGGCATCCTATGTGCGGACCACTGTTCACACGGAGAAATGTCCTGCCATACCAGCCACAGCACAGTCAGCCACAATTCTTATTATGGTCACAAGGATGGTAGATGTTGGTAGTACTTTTGCCCCTGCTCTCCATCCAGACAAATGACTGAGGAATTCTGTAAATTGAGTAAGTTCAACAAATTCTGTAAATTCTGGATGTTGAATTTCTGTGAAGCAGGACATTGGAATGGGACAGCAGAGACTCTAGCATGGGACAGGGCTTTTCCTAGTTTGTCTTTCTTTTGACTGGGGGTCATATAAACAGCGCAAAGAGGCTATGCATTGTGAAATTTGGGGGCTTCTCCATACTGCAATGAAATGCGGCTGCAAATGACTCAATGGCATGGTTTTAGTGACATATACATGGAACACAGCACTTTTTTCCTCAAGAAAGGTTATTTCCCTAGCAAATTTCCTCTTTTTTTCCCACTAGGGTCCTTTAGCCCCTAGGATATGCAAATGTATGTCACACCACTTTTGATACTCAAAAAGCTGCTGCTGCTGCTTCCTTTTTCCCCTCATTTTTACCTGTAGTTAATCATTCTGCTCGTTTTCTCAGCAAATAAGAAGTTATCTTTGACTATATGATAAACAGAGCTTTAATTGCAAAACTTCCTAAAAATTACAAATGGCAGAAACACTGCAATTAAAATCGTAACTTCTGTAAAATTACAACTAGAAAGCCAAGCCAGGATTCCTTTAGAATAAATGTATCAGTAGTAAGCCAAATAAATAATACTCACTACGTTTCAATATCAAATAAGAAAATAAGCGAATTAGTATAATCAAGTCAAAGGACCACTTCTTTTCAAAACTATGTTTCTCAAAACCCCCAACCAGCAGACATCTAGCCCTGTCAAAGCCTGAAAACCTACATCTCTAAATGTTCCAGATGAAAAGGGGCTAGCTGTAATGGAGCAAGAGAGACTAAGAGAGACCTCATGAATAATAATATTTTAGGGGCTGGAAGTTAGAATGCCCATTCTAACTTCCAGGCCACTAACTTCTAACTTCTAACAGGCCACACAGAAGGCCTCCCTACTCTGGGTAAGTGATTATCTGAGTAACAAAAATGATGGTAATATTATTTTTTGAGATGTCTACTAGGGCTATTTCATAAAGAAGGAGGTGCTGGTTTATCTCTGCATTACATTTGGATATATACACAAGGGTTGCTTTAGGTTCCTCATTGTAGGGAACGGCTCAGAACTGGGGATCACAAATGGGGTAAGGTGCCATGCCACAACCCTGTGATGCCTAAATCCTTGAGGGCAGTTTAAGACACGCTCCCTGCTTTCTGCTTCTCCCTTCCTCCCCTTCTTCCCAAGCTTCAGCGTTCTGTTGGTTGCAAAGAAAAATATTTTAATTTGAGCTTCTTTTGTTTGTTTTTGAAAAAGTAAAGCCTGATGGACTGGAAGCTTTGATGAATCATGAGGAAACATTTAAATTTTACAGATAGCTTTTTGTGAATTGGGTAGTAAGTTAATAAATTCCATGCTTTGTTAATGAAGCAGGATTGGAACGTGTTCTAACTAAATAGAAGAAAAAACAACTGATAAGAGTTGTCTTGGCTTAAAATACATTTGCGCATGATTAAATGCAGATAAATTCTGATTTAATGCTATTGTGATGCAAAGATAAGCAAAAGAATATGTTGCCCAAGTTTACGGTGGCTTGGTTTATAATGTAGATAGATGATTGATGAATATTTATTTTTTTATTTCTTTTTAATGCAAGCATAGCTCTCTACAATGTTTTTGTATTTTTGAGACTGTTTAGAGGGATGGACCTAACAAAACTAACAAATACATTTGAAATGTAATTGAACAGTTAAAATTTTCAGCCTTTTCCTCTAACTGGTTCTCTAGTTGGCCTGCTAACCCCTGTGGAGCTAGTCTGAAGTCCCCTCTGCCACATGAAGAGTCTACATATATAACTTGGGTGTAGAAATCTCATGTATACAAGAGGAGCACCCAGCAGTTAGCTTATTTGTGAGTACAACCCAAAACACTGTATCTTGACGGATTTTCAAAAATACAGAAATAAAGTAATTGTGAAGTAATAGATATGGAAAAGGGAAAAGCTACAAAAATACATAAAATAGAAAGAAATAACATCTTTTATTGGCTAGGAAATGAAAAGAACAAGAAGAATGTTTTAAACCTCATTTGTTTTGAATGCTGAGAGGAAAAAAAAAAACAAACAAAAAACCCCCAACTTTTGTCCACAGAGTAATAGACAGCCTAAGCAAAGACAGAAACTAATCTTAAGCAAGATTGTACTGGTCTAAGGCCATCTACTGGAAGCAACCAAATTTAACAAGTTAATATCGTAACATTACAAATTTCTCTGCAGTTTAGTCATGATTAGAAACGAATTTCTGGGCAAAAAATGATTTTTTTACTACAACTGCACAAAAAGGTTTGGTGAGAGATAACATCATGTCTGATGGCAGTCACTCATCTTTTGAGTATGAAATGCGGCTTGTGATATGGATGCTTGGAAAATCTTTAAAGACTAGCTGTACCACTGTGACAAAACAATGATCATTGCTATTAGGAGCATATTACATATCAGAAAAAGATTTTATATCCCATCCATTTTTACAAACAGGATGTTAGCTACAAGCTAAAAGCTCTTGTCACAAACTGTAGTACTGGCAGACTAACACTGACAAAGTCCTTCATTGGTCATGTATTAATTTTTCTATTTAGCCAGTGAATGGAAGAAATAATTAGTAGCTTCCTTGTCATCCTCTGGACTATGAAGGGGAGATCTGTGAACAGAAAGAACTAGATCTCTGACAATCAAGTATGGGAGATGTTTGGAAATTAGTTACTAAACAGTAAGGTACTAGAAAGGCACTAGTTCAATTTGAAACAATGTAACAAGAGGAAAAATAGCTTGAAGAGCCAAGGTGTACATGCCAACAAAATGAAAGAGGGTTTTCACAGATGTGGTTAAACATTTCCTCCCAAAGGAAAGCGGAAATCTGTGGTGTTTAGGGGAAGAAGGTTCACTGTGCATCTGTTTGGCAGAATGGGAAATGAAATGATTTGTCAGGCCTTCACAGAGCTACACTTTCTGGGACTTCATGTAAGACAGCTTCTGAAGAGGTCCCAGTGTAGTTTATTTTAGTGATCAAAGTGTAGCTGCTGGAGAAAGAATTTTGTGTCACCACTGCATGAATCCAGTAGCATTGTTCTGAGGTTCCAGAACAGCTGCTTTACAGTTTGAAAATATAACATCAGCCGAATATCAGGGATTTAAGGTTTAGCACAAACCTTCCTGAGTATATTCATATTGCTTTCTGGAATGGAGTTAGTACGTCTGCATGGTATCATGTTCAGTGCTATGTTATAAACTACATGCTCTGTTATTTCATGAGAATGGAAGGGCAAGCCAGAGGTGTTCTAGGTTTGTTTACTGTGCAGAAACCTTCCCCTTTCTCCTAGTCTTAAGAATGTGTTGCAGCTACAAGGTGTCACCCAGCTTCCAGCGCTAGCTCACATTTTTATAAATAGGGTTTGAGTTCCTTTTGTTTTTTACAGAAATAAATGTGTAATGCTGAGCAGCTCCAAATCCAGTTTCTGGATAATGAGAAGCCATGCAGGGTGCACAGGCCACTCGGACACCAATGAAGAACAGCAACTGAAATTCTCCCCTGTCTCTTCTAAATGCTACAGGAAGAGATCCTGTGAGCTCCTCTGAACTGTACCTGGTAACATGCAGCATTAGAAGTGAGATTTGCAATAAGGTGAACAGGCCCCACAGCCCCACCCATCTGTTTTGGATTCACTGTGCTCTTGCCAGTGGCATGTTAGAATTGCCCATATGTGCAGACACAATTCACAAACTTCCTATCCTTCTTTTGCTGCTCCATTGCATCTTCCTGGACTTATAGCAAAGCGTGCTGCTTGTCCATGGCCTCCTCAAACAGCAAAGCCTGGTTAGACCTGTGAGTCAAAGAGACCACAAAAAGACCTACTCCTGCTG